TGACATGCACATAGCACACTGCATGGCTATTGAGACCACACCCCCTGCAGGCACTGTGCATTCCTCCATCACATGCACACATGATTTCTAGAAGTAATATTTAACTCAAGATTCATGTTTTTGTTCTTCAATGAAACAAATGATTGTTCAATAAAATAATTAAAACTTGTTCTGTTCTACTTACAAATAAATCTGTTTAAATGTCATGTTTTCTTATGACAAAACAAAATGTTTATATTTATGCTTGGATATGACACAATTCGATTACATTGCCCTCAACTCCCAGTTAGTTCCCATGGAAAGTTTCCAATATGGAATATTTCCAAAATTCCCCAGCTTAACTTCCCATGGTAATTTACCGGAAACTTAGCGGAAATGTTCCGCCCCTTTGCAACCCTAGTCACAATATAAAAGTAATGTTCCCGAATTACTTTATTTTGTAATGCAGATACATCAAAGAGAAAATAAATATCAATAAGATGCCTTTAACTTTGTGTATTATGTAAGACAACAGAACTATGTGACCTCAGAAAAGAGGAAACCAAGATATTTAGGATCAAACATGTGTTCTCTGCTCATGGATTTTATTTATAGGAAAACCTGCCTTTCATGAAGGATATTCATATTCAGCCTATATACTAACGATGAAACGCATGAGCACATACTAGAGTTTAAAACAATCTGAAATAAGATCTGAGCTGAAAATGCACTGTTTTAGTTTCATACACACAGTTAAGATCAAACACACTATTTTATGAACATACAAGTTCACCTACCGAAATAAAAACGGAGCAAATGAACCAAAGAAAGTGAAACCATGAAGCAGATTCAGGCCGTAGGCGTATAGATTCACACTTGAAGTGTTAGCCTACAGAACAGTACAGTTTACAGAGGAGAAATAAAGTCTGATCCTTTTACAACAAACACTATCTGCTCTTTTTTAGGTTTTTACTACATTTTAATCCTTCTAGTAATCCACAATCTTTAGAAATGTAATCTGATTACATTTTGTTTTATGTAACTGTAAGGGAATACTTTTTGTTGTATCCTGATTACATATTCCTTCTACATGTAATCCATTGCTCCCCAAGCCTGGTCATCAGCTGCTGGGTTTAATAGAAACTTGACAAGACAGTCCTCGTAGCCAATCACAAAGCCTCCCCTGCTGTGCAACATATTACCTTTTGGTCTAAATGAGATTAAAACGTTAATCCTGCAGCGTGCATGGCATCGCTGCAAGTCTCTATCCCACAGATAGAGGGCGAGGTGTGCGCCTAAATGTCTTTCTAACCTTTAACCCTAAGGGGGCTGAGGGAGGGTTTAGCACTGTCACACTAATGCCATCAAATCCTCGGCATATGTTTGTGTTTGTGTTTGTGTGCGCGCGCGTGTGTGTGTGTGTGTGTGTGTGTGTGTGTGTGCAAAACAGGACTACCGCAAAGCCAAGACAGCTTGACTTGCTATTGATTGTTATGCAACTAAAACCCAGAGGGTGGTTTACTTAGAAACATGAACTTCACACGACCACACAGAACAGCAAACAACTTGCTTCTGCTTTTTTAACAAATACTGACACTTCTGCTTTTTTTTTTGTGCTGAATACAGCCTGCAGACTCAGAAGAAACCGGGCAGTATTGTGAAGGTGCATACACTAGGAGGGCACAGTTTGGAAAAAGCAACTATAGAGCGGTGCAGTGAGGAAGTATTTGTGTAGGCTGTGCACGTGTTAGCATCATAAGGGCTCTCCAAAAATCCAATGTGATTTCTTAATTGGATTTTGGATTATCGCAAAAAATAATCTGTGGCAAATCGTTGTTCAGTAGGAACACCTCCACATATTACCACAACTCTATGATATATACTTTATTTGTCTCATACTGCCTGTGCTGCAGCACCTCTTTTCACCCTCTGTCTGAAACCAGAGCCCAGTCTGCTCTGATTGGATTCCGGGATAAAAAGTGGCTGGAGGTTTATTGAAATTAGAAGGAAAAAAAAGTAAAGTTTGGTGAAATTACCTTCGCTGTTCCAGCTCTTCTGGAGTGGGTCCATTTGAGACTGGACGGGGGAGAGTTGCGTAGCCTGGCAAAGTACAGAAAACATTATTAATTAAAGTGGAAAATTGTTGTGTATGATTTGAAACATTCTTGAACAGTTTATGATTTGTATTTGATGACACTCTTTGAATTGTATCCAGCTGTTTATGTGCTTTTTTCGATGTACACACCTTCTTCTACCCATTCAGATGAGTGTGCAACCTCTGTAGACAGCCGTCATATAACAGAAGGGGCAGAAGAGGGTTTTATGGTGTTTAATTGCACTAGGTTTGCAACACTGTTCAATTGTTTCAACAGTAACACGTTTGCAACGGTTCAAATCAGATCTAATGACCCGGAATAAAAACAGATATAACAAAACAGTGCAGTTAAAATCACATTTTTGCACAAAGAAATCTGCAGAAAACCTTGGAAAATGTTCCCAACAGCTGGATTATGGCAGGATAATGTTATGGTTTTATGTAGGGAAAATACGTCTATTATTCTAGACTGTTGTACTTTAAATCATTTTGAATCAATAATTGTGAGTCCAGTCGTTGGTTTGATTTAAAGGTCCCCTATTATACTGTTTTTAAATCAATATATTATAGGTCTCAGATATATACAAAACATGTCTCTGAAGTGTTTGGCTCCAAATACCAAACAGATCATTGCAGCATTACCCATAATCCCCTCTGTTTCTGCCCTGTTTCCAAAGTGCTGATTCTCTGTCTTTTACTTTAGATGAAAATAAGGAGCCCCTCCCCACGCCCCTCTGAGAGAGATTTGGTTACCTTGGTTGGTGATTGGCTAATGGTTACACAAGCCAAAAAATCGTTATGACATCATAAAGTGGCCAAAATCTGATCAGCTCATTTTCACACAGGTTTTTATATAAATGGATCAGGAGAAAAAGAGAGAGAATCTTTTTTCCTGAAACTTTCAGAATCTCTTTACACAGAGGGGACACATGTTGATGTATGAAAGACATGAAAAGGTGGATTTTGCATAATAGGTGACCTTTAATATGTAAGCGTGTCATAAGGGGGATAATGTGCAGTGAGGCAGTTCTTATTGTGTTTTGTGCCTAACGGTTGCTGGTGAATCTTGTGACGTGTTTATTTACCTGCGTCTGCCATGGAGGTGATCACCTCCAGAGCGTGAGACATGCCGTTGGCGAACAGAGTGGCGTCCTCTTTGCTGCCGAAGTTCAGCCCCCACACCTGCCGGGCATCTCTCCACTGGTGGAAGTTGGGCGTGGCCTGGTTATACTTGAGCCCTTTCACTATTGGACAGTTAATAACCACCTGGGGAGAGAACAGCCAATCAATGCAAGGGTAAGAGCTGCACATGTTTATCATTTTATGGAGATTCAATTTTACATTTTCAAAGACAACAATACCATACAAGGACAATGGTGTTGCACATAAAAGGAGAATTGAATAAGGGGTGGGGAGGAATTACAGCGTCAATTTATCTTATGCATCTGTATCCATTTAATACGTAGTGTAATCGTAGGTAGACATGCATGCACATGGTCTTGCATCTTGCTCTTAGTCGCTTATTCCACTAACGTTGATTATTTGTGAACGATATGCATTGGTATATCAGCATCTTTCTCCACAGAGGAATCTACTTTCTGAAAACTCTATAACCTGCTGTCTGGGAACAGTGTTGATGTACGGCTGATGTTTCTTGTGTATATTGTGTGAAGAAACTCAATAAAGTCTAAGTGTGAAAAATGATATCTTCTGCTTTATTTGTGTTGGCCTGTGTTGGTTTGTTTTGCACCCAGCAGGTGGCGTGAAGCCGTGAGCCAGCAGGGGAAATGCTCTGGGTTTGAGTGAATGCGCTGACTCGCCATTTCACTATTTGTTTAACAGCCGCTGGATTCCACAGAGCAGACGGGAGGAGAGGAGACCCAACCAAAATGACTAACAATCGTTTAATAAAGATCAGAACCTCTCCTCTCCAGATCTAAGGGAACTTTTTTATTTGATGAACAAGATGTACCCTTGTAATCATCACCAAAGATTTCATTTAAATTGAAATATATTTACCTTCAGTCATTCAAAAACGTCTTTTCTTGTCGTAAATTAAACATGCTTGTGATTTCCAAACATTTAATATGCACAAATGAATTGCACCTGCACATATCGCATGTATATATATATTGAACTATCTTCCCCTCATATCTGTATACTGTATACGAAGATACAGCTGATCAATTCAATCTTTCTCTAATAAGAGATTCTTATTCTCTTTATTTATTTTTCTTTCTAGCTCTTGTTTCTGCTTATAATTGCCTCAGTTTGATTTGACTATATGAGCATGGATGGGATGGACCTTTTTCTGAGGTTGTTGTTGTTGAAACTGTTGTTCAATAAAGTTTGGGGAGAAAAACATGCAGTGAAAAGAGAGGGTAGCAAGTGACCAGAAACACATCTCAATTAGGATTAAAGGGGGCATATTATGTTATTTCTTAAGTTAAAGAAGGCAGTGTGTTCAAAAAGCCGTAATTTCTGTAGAAAAACATTTACACACCGGTCCTAGTGATCATAAAAAAGGGCTGGGAAACATATAAAAAAAAAAAGTTACTGTTCATAACGACAATCGAAGGAAGTAGGAAACATGGTAGTACATCGAAAATACAGCCCCTTATATTCTCTCCACTGTGCTCTCATCCTAAACCAGACTGCATGTCTCCATTAGACACATATAGAGTCCTTATTGGGTGTCCTGCTACTTCCTAAATTGTTGCAGGAAACGGAAGAACAAGCTAACTATCTAGCTAACATAATCCACTTTAAGGCCCGTCTCTGGGGAACACGCTCACTCCTGAACGTTTAAAGGAGGAGAAGCAGCATTCGGGAATAGACCCACCCAGACATAGTGTACTCAGCTTTTTAACGTCTGGCCACCCTTATCTATAAAGCGATATCTGGTGAGTCATAGCGTGTTGATAAGGAAACTTTTGTTCCCCTTTGATATGACAGGTTCACCGGACGGTCTCTCTTCTCATTGTACCAACGTCACGCCCAAAGATAACATTAGATGCTCCACAGAATCACCTTAAAGAAGCCATATTCTGCTTTCCCTTACATGTAGTGTGTTTTATAGCTTTGTGTGCATGTAAATGGTCTGCAAAGGATAACACCCCCCCCTGCCTGAAACTCCTCCATTGGACTCCTTTGTTTACTTCTGGTATATAATGACGCGTGAATCCACGTTTTGTACTGAAATGTACCATGAAAACCATAACGGGAAGTTTTACACACTAAAAACATGAAACTCATCTGTAAGCTTGGTATTGCTTCCTCTCGAGCATTTGCAGAAGTGTTCACATAAAAACTCACACTGTTACTATGGCTACTGGCAAGATTAAACAAGAGTGTGCAGAGATTTGGCAATAAATCCAAATAAGATGAATTGTATGAGTAGAAGTGATACCAGTGCAGTTGTTCACCTGTTATCAGTTGTACTGTAGCGGCTACACAGTCCAGGCTGTCATTATGCAAAGTACATTATCGCCAAATAATACACTTAAAATAAGCAATAAAATGGGAGTGATTGACAATGATGTGTTCTTAAGTATTGTTAAATGATCATAAAGGATATCTATGAAGTCACCTAGGTCTTGGTGCAGGAATGAGTCCTAAATACCGGGAATGAGTCAGCATTTTAGCCTTAATGGTTTTTTTAATGTGTTTTTGGTTGTTAAACTAAAATAGGGTCAAACTGAAGACATTTTTGTTCTACGACGTCAGTTAATACCCCACTGGTGAATTCAAAAAACAGCGGTCGCTAACAAGTTTATAAATGAGACGAATAAACGTCATCACGCCCAACATTAGCCGCCAGCTTAGCGGTGATGGTGTGAAGTCATGTGACCGTGATGTAGTTCCTTTTTAGCCTAATGTCAGGTTTTTACTTCAGAAATCACAAAGTGGTGTTAACATGTGGAGATTATCCTGCTGAACAAAACGTGTGGGTATCATAAACGTTTGTTTGCCAAAGAGATTGTTTTCTACATTCATTTTTTGTGCAGGGAAACAGGGAGATGCTGCCTTCAGGGTCCAACAGAGAAATATGACATCACTGCACCACAGTGTGAACCAGATGTAAGTTTATAAAACAAATGCTAGCCCAGAAGCTGCTACACACCTGCTGGTCCGCCTGCATCTTGCGCCCCACTATCCTGAAGGCGTTGGTGGTGGGGTTGTGATAGATCTGGACTCGGCTGAAGGCTTGAGGCCCCGCGCCCGCCGGCAGCCACTTCTTGTTGCCATCGTCATAGATCATCACAGTGGCCCGAGCCTGGCAAATACTCGACTCACTGCAACACAGAGGGAAAGACAGAAAGAAACGTTAGTTTGATGCAGTGTATAGATTTGAGATTTGACTTGTTGCATGGTAGTGAAAAGGCAAAGATAGCAGAGGAATCAGCACAAGAGACATGTGTTACACTGACTGGAGACCACTGGACATCAGTAAGAACCATCACTACCTCCATCATAACTCCCACAATGCACTGGTTCATCATTTGAAAATGGAGAAAAAGCCTTTAGCTGAACCATGCTCCAGTGTGTTGAAGTGTCACAGGAGTGTGAGATAGTGGACAGGGTCACCACTGTGGGAACAGATAGTTCTGCAGTATGATAGCAGCAGAGATAATATGCCCTGTGTAGCTCACATTATACAGAGGGGGGTCACAGAGGTTTTGTCCATGCTGTAGCGAAAAACTAAAAAGTCGGACTTCACGTCAATAATTCAGAAATCCTGTAATAACAGATAAAAAGCCCTCTGATTTCTCTCACCAGTTTGTCATGGCTCTCTTTATCACAACACCACACACGTTTAGACAGAATGAAGGACTGAGCGATAGATTGCAGAAAAAGTGTTAATCTGAGAGGAGAGAGAAAGAGTGTAATGCCAAGCGAGATGGGAGGCGAGACAACAATGGAAGCTGACAAAGACGGGAAGTTGAAAATCTTCCACCTGCAACACATCAACCTCCACCTCCACACACTCCTCCACCAGCAAACATGTGCTGTGAGATCAGCGGCAACACATTTATTTATAGTCTCACACACGAGTAACAACACATCCAGGAATGCATGCACATTTTGCAAGTTTAGCAAGCAGTATATTGGGTGCAGAGTGTGATGAGGAAACGCATTGTACTGTAGAGAGGAATACCACAGAAAATAAGTATGAGGCCTAAACAAATGTAGAACAGGAAGTAGAACACAGGAAGAAATGGTGGCTGACGTAATTTCCCCCTTTTTACCATTTCTCCCCCTTTTCTCCTCATTTTGTCCCCCTTTGCTCTCCCAACGTCCCCTAATCCAAGTCCTCTCCCACTCTACCTCCATCTGTCCCGACCGTGATACAAATCTGCTACTTCCTGTGACCCAGCAGCAAAGCCACAACCCACTTCCTGCTGCCAACACTGCCTAAAAAGGACTGTCTCAGAATGAACAATCCATACACACACACAAGGTAGTTGACATTTGAAAAACACACAATATATCTCTGGGGTCGCTGTCAATCATAGGAAAGTGTGTTATATAAAATTGGCTTCCTGTGATTGTGTTATTCAGCACGCGTCATAGTAATTGTGCCCACAGTGAATGTCAGGCCAATCTTTCATAAGAGCTTCCTGTCCTCTACGCTATGTGGCCACCTGTAGCTGTAGAGATTGTTGTTTGATTTACTTTCATCTCCTTTTTAAGTCCTTTGTGAGTCTGCATTTCACATTTTAAAATGACAAACACTGTATCATTTGTTGGGGGCACCTGGAAGATTGTTGAAAGAGGATGATGATGCTAATCAGCTTTTCCGCCAGGGGGGCGTCTTGCCATCATTTGACGCCCTTATTCAACTCGGAACCTCCTGAACTCGAGCCGAGGGCGTCCAAAGAAATAAATAATTCGAGAAAAGATCGAGTTTTTATCACTTGAAATGACAAAAAGGACAAGAACATCCCTCTGTTGGAGGGACAAAGGAGTCTGGTGGGATTCTTTTCGCCACGAGCAAAGCGTGTTCCTGTGACGGAAAGTGTACTGGCGGCGAGCCTTGATGGGGGGCTAGTGGAGTATGCGCGTGAACTGCGAGCGTCGGAGCCTCGCAGCGGCGAAACTGAGGCTCCGTGGTACACTGTGGTAACATGAAGAGCCGGCTCGGAGCCGAAAGAGCCGGCTCTTCTTAGTGAGCCGAGCCAAATGATCCGGAATTCCCATCACTAATACGTAAAGAGATAGTATCTATAATTTAAGGGACAGCTGAATTCAAAATGCAAGTCACGTGACACGACACCCGCCCTCTCGGGGTGGACTCCCTCTCAGCCCTGGTCTGGCGGAAACTCTCAATTCATTTTGAGTTCAACACTAAT